TTAACTCCACCTCCAGTTCTTTCTTCCGGTAATCTTTTATCTCGCTTGTTTTCATATTGTTTGAGTAGTCTTTTAAAATCCCAACCTTTACTATAACCTCCTGGTTTATTTCGATATTGTTTTGATGTTTTAAGAAAAACCTCAGCTATAATTCCATCTCTTATCTGATCAAATAATACTAAAAAATTCTTTTTATCTTTTTGATCTTTAATTTCTTCATCAACACGTAAACCATTTTCTATAATTTCTCTTAATTTTTCCATCAAATTATCATAGTTTTCTTTTGGCCAATCTCGAATACTATTAATATCAGTGATATCATATTTTTCCATAAACTCGTTATACTCGGAATCGTCTATTTCTACCCTAGCTTTCTTTCTATAAAATATGATAGTATCCTCAAGAGGCATTATTTTTATCATACTTTCTTGTAACGTTTTTTGTTTCTCAGCTAATTCCTCAGTTTGTTCTGACACTTTTTCTATTAACCTCCTTAACTCGTCGGGATTAACAGCCTTTGTTGTTATAGCTTGCTGAAGTGCAAGAGGGTTGTTTATTAATCTATCAAATTCAACCTGTCGTGCAATAGGATCAACAATGTCTCTTACAAGTTCTTCTGCAATTTTTTTATTTTCTTCTTTTGATCTTTCTCCAAGTAAACCAAACAAACCATTTTCTTTCATTTTTGCTAGTTCTTCTGGAGATGATGTTTGTATTTCTGGCTGCTTGCCAAGCATTGCCTCAGTAACAGGTTTGAAAAATTTGGTTCTTTCTTCTTCTGCTTGAACTTGTCCACGTCGAGCTTCTTCCACCTTTTTCTTAAAAGCCGCACGAGTTTCGAGAAACTTTTTTAGTAATTCAATTTTCTGTTGATGTTTGTCCATTATTTTTATACGCTTTACAAAATTATATCATAGAAACGTCTCAAGGCAACAACGAAACATCTTGGTTGGATCACGCGCTAGCTTGTCAAATAAAAAGAAACTATATCTATCTTTAGTTGCTCGATGATATAATTCGATAAATTTATCTTTTGTAACATCACCACATTGTTCGTTTGCAATATTTCTCACATCCACATTATCTAGTCCGGGAAATAATATGAAACAACCCGTATTTCGCCTAATAAACCTATCAACATTATAAAAACCTTGGGCAAGATAAACAGAATTACATCTTTTATTACGTGATAGTGAAAAATATGATCTAATCTTGTTCATCTCCTCATTGTTTAGCGGAATATCATCAAAGACGATTATCTTATGCTCTGACGAATCGAGTTCATTCACTGGAACGAGTTCTTCTGGTTGTTTTATCAAAAATATATCATCACCAATGCCAAGGTCATCACGAAGTTTATCATTATACTCACTTAGTAACTCGTATTTGTCTTGTTGGGGGTTGATGGTGTAAATATACACCTTATCATAGTTAAAGTTATTATTGAGTAAAAGATTTAATAACAAATTTGTTTTACCAGATCCAGTTCGCCCAACAATAAGATAATGACAGTCTGGAAGTTCATTGTTATGTTTATGCTTCACCAATCGCTCGGTGTCAAAGTTTATTATCTTCGCCATCGTATAATTTTATGTTATATTAATCCAACAATTTTGTGTAGAACGGTATGTATAATGAGCTACTATACAAAATTTGGAACATTAGCAGTAGATTTATTAACAGAAGGTTACCAGGGTGACTTATCCAAGTATGCGACTCTTGATAAGCTCAAAAATGAAATCAACAATTTGCTAAACGTTGCAAGTGTAGATCCAAATGAAGTTGTAGTTTTCCAGGACAAACAAGGACGATTAAAGACGAGTAATGTACAACTATCAGATGTACTAGTACGAAATCCTACTGCAGTTGCTAATAATATTGCTACTTTTAATAATCAAGGTAAGATAGAAGATTCGGGTAGGTCAGTTAACGATTATGTTAGAAAAGCAGGTGATTTATTTACGGGGAACATTGTTATGAACCAGAACAAGATCACATACCTTGGAAACCCAACTGAGGATAATGACGCTGCTACTAAGAAATATGTTGATGATTAGGAATCAAAGTACGTGTCGGTGCGTGGCGGTATAATGCATGCATTTCTCAACATGAACAATAATGGCATCAATAATCTTAGAACACCAGAGTTTGATTTTGATGCTGTAACAAAGAAATATGTTGATGATATCAACAATGAAATTACCAAGTTCAAAACTGATTTTACTAATCACATCACCACGTTTTTAAATTTTCGCAGAAACATAAACAAAACCAATAACGAATTTTTTGGAAGTCCGCCGTCTGTTGATGTTACACTCGATAATATTAACACAAAACTCAACGATATTATTAGTGGAATTCCTAGTATTGTTGAGAAAACAAGTATGATTAAAATTCCTCACAAGCAGATTAAAAATATTGTTTATACTGTTGCTTCTGGAATGTCTACTTGGTCGCCGCAAAATAACACTCTCAAACATACTGCAGAGGTCACTGGTGTGTATAGATTGTCTGTGTTTAGCAGTGTAAAGTTTAATATATTTACCTTATTTCCATGGCGTCACTCGACTGATAATTTCTCTGGAACTGTGTCTATTGTGTTAAACAAAGATGTTGAAGAAACTTTTATGCTAATAGCTGATGACAAAAAATTAACTGCTGCGTCATATTGGTATTGTCTGGAATTTGTGGCTGAAACACCTCAACTAGTTACTTAATCAAGCCTGAGATTATGTGAACAAATATTATAATGAAAAAAAGCATAGTTGATTTCAATCATATTTCAAAAGATATTCCAGGACAGGATGTTGACGCACTAATACAATACTACAAATATTATCATAAAAAACTTTGGTGCGTTAAAAAATGTTACAAATATTATAACAAAATACTTCGAGTAATATCATATCTACCCTTGTTAATGACTAGTTCTGGCATAATTTCAAGTGGTATATCATTAAACCCGTTTTTGTTAATCATATTCGGTGTTGGTGTTTCTCTTACAGCAGCTTGTAAAAAAGTTGAACCTAAAATTTTGATAAAAAAGCACGGCTGCTTAACATCAATTATAACTTACAAAAAACTACTTGATCAAATAAGATCTTACCTACGAGGAGTAAAATATAATATGGACGATTTAATACGTGAATTTCGTATTATTGACAACATGTTAACAGATATTCTACCCATGAGGATCAGCAAATATGAGAAAGATTATCAAAAGAAGTATGAGTAACATAAAATTAAGATATAATACCACTTACCTTACTGGAATTCTAATGCGTAATTTAGTCCACAATCGCCACGCTCTGCTAAATCGTAATGATTTGGAAAATTGAGTCTGACATATCATTTTGCTTATTCTGGAAGATCACTTAATTAAATTTTACCTGTTACCTAGGTATTTTGCAACAGGTGTTCTATTGTATTTATTTGGAGGTCTAGAGGGGTTGTTGAGCTCGGATTCTTAGCGCAATTATTGATTGCAACAGGTGTTCTATTACGTTACCTAGGTATTTTGTATTTGTTGAGCTCGGATTCTTAACGCAATTATTGATTGCAATAGGTTTTCTATTACGTTACCTAGGTATTTTGTATTTGTTTGGAGGTCTGGAGGGGGTTGTTGAGCTCAGATTCTTACTTTCTCCTACTACTCAAATCTACTCTATTATCTCATATAAAATCTATTTTTATTTTGCATGCAGTTGTGAACTGCTTATTGAGCCCAGAAAATAATACAAAATACCATACGCAAACAATTGGAAACATCAAATTTGTATTATGTTTGGTTTTTTTGGGGGGGAGGGAGGAATGTGGGATATTTCTCAGGCCTGTCTACTTCGAGTAGCCCCTTGCGACTTAATCCTGCGACGTCTGTGTCCCATACTTCTTTTATATATGAATATTCTCTAATCTCAATAGTATAAAGCTAAAAGTATTTTTTTAAAAATTAAATTTTGTTAGATGTTTTTGGGATAGAGGGTTTGATACGGATTTAGGTACGGATTTGATCGTTTTGAAACAATTTAATATATTCGTACATTTTAATAGTATTGGGCTGGCTAATGCCACCTCCCCTCTTTTTGCCCTATATAAAACTTATTTTTGAACATAATGGTTTTAAAGCCCTACATATGTTTTTATATTATCTATATCAATAGACTTTAAAACATAATCGATATTGGAGTACGTCTTTACAAATTGGGCCCGCTCTGGTACACTTAACGGCGTTATTGACCATATTGAAATGTTTTTATTTTCTTTACCATGCATTTATAGTTTTCTTCGTCCTTTCTTAACCCGAAAAAATATTCCAATTGTAAACACCACATTTGCATTTAAAACGAACTTATTATTATTTCCCATTGGCTTATAGTACGAATAAGCCGGATCTGAATCAACTATACGCCTAAATATTAAAGGGTGTGACGACAGGAGTTTTTAATAGGATCAAAGGCCATGCCTATCAATCAAAACGAACCTGTCAGTTAGCTAGGAATAAGCCGTACACTTAGAGAAAATAAGGTTATTTCAAATCTACTCACGTCAATACCTTCACCGCCAGTTTGTTTATCTTGTCTAGATCGTTTTATTCGGGTAAACACACCCCAAACTGTTTTTGGGATATATCTTGGCGTACGTGATTTTATATCTCGATGAAGTAGCTTTTTTTTTTCCACATCCATAGCAGTAAACTGATTTTTTTTTTCATCTTGGATTAAATTAATGGTAAATCATCCCAAAATTGTTTCTTGGTATTATGGATTTTATTTTTTAACTATTATTTATTTCACTGTTAGTCTTATATAACTTGTTTTCTTTTATATGGAAAAAAACAAATGTGTTTCGTCCGTAGTTAGATATCATAGCTCTCACTAATTTCTCCGTACGGACAATGTAGACGTGAAAATTTGGCTTGACAACTGATTTTGCTAATCGGGTATACAGCAAACTAGCATATTGTCAAACAGATGATCACTAGACACATACGCTACCGCAACCGCTCTGGTGGCCTAGTTGTTAGAGTGTCTGCCTAGGATACGGGAGGTCGCGGGTTCCAACCCCGTGCGAGTCATACCAGACTTACAAAAATGGTACTAACAAGTGCCTCTCTTGATAATGTGACTGGGTGGGACATCATGACACACGTCTGCGGCATAATGCCACAGTGGTAAACATCGCTATAAACTGTCACACTGAAGACATCATAGCGATATGACTGAAAAATTGTTAATTGAAAATCTAACTCACTCTCACACACACACACACACACACACACACACACACACACACACACAAGAAATCGCATTAAAATATCGATTTATTTGTCAGGTATAGGTATGAAAACATTTCAAACAATAATTACTCTTTAGTGACATTCTTCCATACCGTTATTCTTCAGTTGTTAGCTTGAACGACGATTTGTTAATTTATTTAATCACTCCTCTTCTAACACCAGGAGTAAATAAGACCGTATCTCCGTAGGTCTGTTGGTTTCTCGTGTATTATATAACATGTATCCGGTAATACTAAATCTACCTTTACCTACCTAAACCTTAGTGACCGCATTATTGGTTTGCCTGCAGGCTTATCCTCCCTACATTTAGATAGGTTGAGTAATAAAGATCAATAAATGTACCGGAACTATTGTGTAGTAGGGAAGCGGTTTAGGGGAAAGCAGAAAAGGTACAATAACGAGGAGATCCGTTTTTTTGTATTACCTTAGAACACCTGGGAACTAACATAAGTATTGATCCAGTAGACATTTTTTGCTTTGCGTTTGCTGAGATAACCTATGCAAATTGTATAGTTTGTTTTGTTTGATAAAAGTTTAGATATTTATTGAACAAATTAGCTGTGTTTGATATACCTTATCGGGGTTTTATCAGGCCTGGCCTTAGGATGTGTGGGGCCCAATGCAGCATGCGGGGCTCAAGGCAGCAAGCGATGAGCGCGGGGCCCCATGCAACAAAACTGCATTTCGGAGAAAAGCGGGAACCAAGGCGGTTTCCGTCTTCGTTTTGGACTAAGGTTGGGCCTGGCTGATATTTACATGAATTGTTTGTAGCAGAAGACCACATTAGCTTCGCAGACTGGGTATCAACCTAACGTAAGTAGGAAAAGAACAGAGATTATTGGTATCGACTCCTGATGTCATTTGACAGAGCAGTGATTTGTCTCAATGGGCTGAGGTATCTATTGAAGTTTTCAAAATGCAAATTTTGAGTATGTCAAAAGTAAATTACTTTATTCCACGATGTTGGACTGGTTTCAAAATGGCATACACTTTTGTTTCCTTGAAGAGCAGATTTTTTAATAAGCCTTTTTGAGATTTGAGTTTTCTCTGCTTTATTTGAACACTGAAATGTTTTTCGGCTTCTCCTGCAAGCTTGCTTCCGGTTGATAACAGTTCTTTTCAAAGCATTAACAACTGAATATTGTTGATACCAATTATAGTATGACACTTCCGCTAAATGGCAATATATCGAATTAATTTGGAACAACGTATAATTCAATATTGTTTCGTCGTAATGTTTTCCCCCAAAACTCGTTGCCTCATTATTAAAGAACATATATCTAAAAATAGCAACAATTATTCTGCACATTAACAAAGTGTGCAAATTGATTTTAGATTAATTTGACTTTCAGTTTTAAGTATTTTACAAAAGAATAACCCGTGTTACAGTCAACCTCAGCTTACCAATTCTTTTTTTACAGTGATGCATTTAGCTCATACTAGCGGAAGAAAAGAGTCCCATTCTAATTACTCAAAGTTTGTTATTATTACCCAGAAGCCTTGGCGGGAGGGCAAGATTATGATCCAAGATGAAGAGAATTCAAAATTTTCCTATCGAATGTCCGTCGACGGTAGGAATTAATCCACATCTATTTATCTACTCCCCAATCCCAGCCCAATCGGGTCTAAGTCTAATTACGTAATAGTGTTGTGGTCGGGAGGAAACATTTTGAGGCTTCAAGCGAAAATGAATGTCGGTGTTTTTCCTGCTTATTTTAGCACAAGTTTCTCATGTGCTGACGGAAATGGCAAAGGGTCGAAGCTAACATATTTCCCTAGAAACAAATTCGTTCACAATCAAAATCGACATGTCGACATGTCATTCGGATATGTAGCCAGTGCAAGTTTATTAAATCTCGATATGCTGATTGCATCTCCATGAAATGGATAACATTAGCATATGTCTGACATTTTTGACTTGTTTTAAGACTTGATAACTTTTCAAGTAAATGCGTATTTCACAAATCATACAAACATAATGAACATTATAACAAGCGTGAAATGACCTTGTGACTCCTGTAAAATGTGTGCCTGTATTTGGATTTTTAACGATGCTTTAACAATTTTTCAGTCATATAGCTAGGATGTCTGCAGTGTAGTAGTTTATAGTGATGCCCAGCACGACGTCATCATGCCATATCCCACCCATCCATATTTTACTGACAACAGCCTACCAGTCCTAACAATAACCTCGTAAGTTTTGAACAAGTCAAGTACAATAACGAGCAGCTCCATTTTATGGTATTACCTTGGAACACAAGGGAAATAAAATAAATATCGGTTCCGTAGACTTTCATTTTTGCTTTGCGTTTGCTGAGATAACCTTTGCAAATTGTATAGCTTGTTTTGTTTGATAAAAGTTTAGATATTTATTGAACAAATTAAATGCGTTTGATACACCATGTCGGGGTTTTATCAGGCCCGGCCCTAGGATATGTGGGGCCCAAGGCAGCAAGCGATGAGCGCGAGCCCCATACAACAAAACGGGATAACGTAGCGTCAAGTCAGGCAGCTGCTGGTACCATTTTTATAAAGCGTTGGTATGACTCGGCCGGATTTGAACCCGCGGCTTCCCGCAAACGCTCTAACCTCTCAGGCCACCGTAGCTGTCTCCTGTAAACAGTACAGTGTACACTCAACCAACAAGATGTTGACGAGAAGTATTTCCCTGCCTCAGGTACGTTTATGGGTCGACAATTAGGTTTCGTCTGAAAAGAGGATTACCAACAAGCAGTTACGTCATTAATAAAGCGTCTGGACCTATAAACCCCTGGCATAAACTGGATTATACCCTTACGTGTTTGTCACCAATGCACAAAATGAGAGGGCGTGTTCAGCTTTATCCTATGGGCAAATGCTTTACTTTATAACTTTTGTTTGCTTCAAAATTCAATTTGTTGTTTTCTTGATGTACAACATAACCGACCTTTGAGGGCCACACTTACATATAAAAGCCTTTAAAGACACTACAATGGTTAAAGACAGTCATAACTGAGGGCTATCGAGGGGCACACAAATAAAGACCTTACAACTTAAATGATTTTGTTCCAAAGTAGTGTCAACTGGCTTATGTACGTCTTATTCAAAATGGTGTTTACATCTGCATTAATTACCGTTAAAAAATTAATTGACAAGTACAAGCTTGGTCAGCGCCGTAGAGAGCGAACAATGGCCCTGGGGTAAGAAATTCTCGGCATGTCCTTGTTCTTGTTCAAACAAAAGTTTTCTTTTATAAAATAGAAAGTATTGTTCGGACCGGTTGTCGGCTCTGAGCTTTGTTGAAGTTATTATAGCCGATATACCATGTCATTTTAAGACTATCTAAAACTGACATCATGATAATTTTGAATGTCAGGTGCAGTAGTTGGTTTTAAGTTGTTCTTTTGTAAATGAATTCGGCATTGGATATTTTGCATTTCATAGTTTACGTCGCATATTTAAGACTTGATATTGTCTTCTTGACCCAATGCTGTCAAATTCTGTGGGGTTAGAAATCAGTTAAGGACAAATAAAACGTTTGGAAAAATGTTCACATTTAAGAGAGGAGAACAAATGTCATTTTTAACGTTTTTTTTTGCTAATGTATGCTAATGTGTTAAGTGTGTATGTGTGTATGTGTGTGTTTGTATGTTTATGTGTTTGTATGTAAGATTATCAGGAGTTGCTTTGTTGTTTGACATTCACGTAAATTCTCCTGTCCACTAAATATTTCCTTATTTGCTGAATTAATGTGTTACTGGCCCCTCTGATAAACATCTTAACAGGGTGTTGACATTCCATTCAGCGTTTCTCTTTCTACTACATTTACCTCGTACCCAGTAAAGGATAAGCCCCAGTGTCAATACTTTATGTTTTAATCAAAAAGCCCTCTAATGTCAACATATTTGAGAGAGTGTCAACTGTAGTGTAATGTTAAAAGCCCACTTTTGTTCAAGTGTTTAAAGACAGCTTGTACAGCAATGAACATACACATGACAAATCATTGACATTTTGGGGCTGGGGTGGGGCTGCGATTTTTATTCGAGCTGAGATATTTTATGCTCTTTTATCTCACGATAATTTATTTGTTTTCTACAATTAATATAATGAATATAACATGGTGTCAGTCTGCAAATACATCAGATCACGATATTTTTTTAAAGCTATATGACGGCTGGACATGTTTTCAAAAGTTCCCAAGTTCCTGCTCCAGACAATGAAATTGTTCGTCCCTAATTTCATTGCAGAATATTGTGTTATGTATCGCGGAATGTTCATAAATGCTGCGTTACAAATTTTTCGTTGTCCCCAGCTCTATGAATTTTCTATATTTCAGTCCAGTTATTTTACCAATTTTCACGAAAACAACACGGTTTACAAACGCTGTGTTATATTTAACATCGTCGCGTGGCAGTATTATTAAGTCTTTTGTTATATAGGCTATATTATCATTCGGTTTGATTCAATCACTTGCTCTAGGCAGCTCCGTCGCGTGATAAAGTTATCGTTTTAAAAGTTGTTGTTCGGCTTAACGCCATTTTTCAGCACACGATAGGCTATTCATGGTGGCCAGTATTAATGGTGGAGGAAGAAACCTGGAAATCACCGGAAAGAACCACTGACCCACGAGACGCTACTGGCAAGCTTTCCCACATATCCACATTCGCCGAATCCTAGACTCGAACACACGCAGAGGTGAGATGGCAGTGATCCGTAACGGACAGCGCTTTAGACCACTAGGCCACTCGTGGCCCCTCCTTTTAAAAGAACATTTAAGTTCTGTATGCTAGTGTTCTTTC